TTATTTTTTTTTTATTTTTTTAAACCATTAAAACCATTTATACAGTGATAACATTTAAAAAATCTTGGACAATAAATTATAAAATATAATATTTATATTATGATGTGTTACATCAAGAAGCYTACAATGTTGAAAGACCTATAGATTATTAATATTTAATACAGGGTTTTCGCTTTGTAAACTTTCTTATATATTGAGATACCTACTGTTTTTATTGTTAAGGTTAGATTAGCCACTTTGAATTTGAATAAATTGTTACAAATTGAGATATGCGATGAGCGCTTGTTTATGGTTTGGAGAAATTCGACAAATATAACAGATTTTACGCTTACATCTTCTTAATTTATTGAGATAGGTAAAGATTGATTTTATCTAAGCTAAAGTGGTGCATAAGTACCTAAGTGCAAGATGATAAAATTACAGTTATAACATTTTTTAGTTCCAACTTACAGATTTCCTTTTGCGAATGTCTGTTCATAAATAACTAAATTCATAATAATAGTATTCTATTGATATGAAATATAAATGTGTAAAGTAAAATATGTGCATGTATTAATATATATTATTATGTTTATAGAAAACTATAAAAATAATAACATCTCAAACTTGTATTACTTTATCGCAGTAGATTAGTCATTGCGAATGACTGGTACCATGCTTTATGTAACATTTAAGTAACAACAATATTGTTAATGTATTTTTCTGATTATGTCAAATTATACCATGTACTTTAAAACAAAAGATTGTTAATCATTAATYAATCATAATCCTAATTCTCGTACAACCTACTTTCTCTTTTCTGTAAAATACACTTTTATAATATTCCACACAAAGGACCATAACCATAATTAGAAAATATGTAATAGTACTTAGGTTAGGTTAGGTTATTGAAATAAGCRACGTTTTAAATGAAATGTCAACTTATACTTAAATATTATCATGAAACCTAGGTACATACGTTTAAAAGCAATGCAATTATATAGTTAAAATTATAATTACGATAAAATTTTAAATAGGTACATATATTATTCCCTGCAAGCTACAGTTTTCTGAAAAATTATAAAAGAATTTTGGAGTTTACCAATTACGCTTTAAAGTCAATAGACCAATTGTGCTCTATATATTATATATTTCATTACCCAAGGAAAACTTATTAGTTAGTAACTAAACGATTTTTTTGCGAATATCAATTCATAATATGTATTGT